CCCCCCATTTTTTACGATTTATTTCTTCTTGTTAAACTTAGTCCACAGTATAAGAAATACAAGAACAAAAACAAATTAATTGAAGGCCAGAGGGTACATGTATTTAAGAACAGCAGCGTTCTTAGAATCGCCATTGTTATCACAGGATTGTTGTATTTCTCAGAATTGAGATAAAAATAGCTTCCTGCCACTTACCAAAGCTACCGAACACTTCACTCGGCGGCGATGAAACATGCTCAAAACGGTGTGTTTCTGACCTAATAATAAGGTCATCTAATTGCTGACGCATCAACCTTGAAATTTTAATATTAACGAAACACGCATTTTGATTGGTTACATGGGTGGAAAATGTATGTAGTAATCTGTTATCCTTTCATGAATTTCAGTTAGACCGAACGGTGTGTGCTCTGTAATTACGCCATCTTTCAATTTGGTGTCACCCCCTGAGATGGTGTCGGCCGGTGCGGTCCGCACCCCTTTAGCTACGCCACTGAATACAATTTTTTGGTCTTCCACACCTCAAGGCTGGGGAGGTAGGCTACTTGTATCCATGGGAGGCAAGTTTCTTAAGTGTTTGTAAAGAACAGTAGTGGACACAGAGATTTTTTATAGGGGGGGGGGGGGGGGAGAGATTGGTGACGTTATATTGGTCCCCCACACTTTTTTCCCTAATTAAATTTTCTTTTTATTCGACAATAAATTAAATATTCAATTCATGTTGTGCAGACCGGCAACGTAAGGAACCACCCTTTGAGAAACACTGCTGATCACGCAATATTATGAACATGGATGGATGGCATATTTATATATTACAGATGAATATACTAACTAAATTAAGGTATCATATTTAAATTATATTAAATTTTAAAAAGATCTAATACAATTATGACACGTGAAATTGTTAGGCTCAAATAGTTAAATCTTTTTTTTAAAATAATATAAATATAAAATAATTGAAACTCTTAATTCAGTTGTCAGTAGAATTTATTTGAAAGAACTCAAACAGATTGGCCGTTAAAAAATAATACTGAAATAATGACACTCTTGTGATCGGATGATTCTATAAAAGATTAAAACCAACTTAAGATTTAATGTTATATTCCGAAACTTTAGCTCCACTCAAACGACCAAACCAAGGCTACCACACCTTGGGAAATTTCCCAAGATCTTGGGAATTCACGACCCCCCTTGGGATCTGGGTAATAATTTTGAAAATGAGGCAAAACCTTGGGAAATCTTAACTGGTGGGAAAATTTATTAAGCAAAAAATTAATTGTTTTAATTTTCTTTTCTGGTTTTAAATTTTAAATCCACTCATCAAATAAATAAAAACTCTTCTGATATTAAAGTTATTATTATTGCGAATTGTTACAAAGTTAATAATTATCAATTACTCATACAATGTATTCAAAATATAATGCATCTGTAAAAAATCCAGCCTAATTTTCATCAATTGGAAAAAATATTTGTGGATTGAAACACAGGTAACTAAGACATTAAAAGTATAGGCCTACGTTGTAGGATTATAAATGAACAATACATTTAAAAGTATGTTATTTTGTTGAAAAAATCGTTATAATATAAATTTACAAGAAAAAAATAAAAATACTTATTGTTTTCATCATAATATCAATCCATTTTAACTACAATTATTATTAATAAATTTTGCTTCATTGCTTTGCAAACCCCACTTCTAATCGACAGACTTACAATAAGAAAAATCATTTTTTGATGAAGAACCTTTTGCCTTTGTAAAAGGAATTCTGTGTTGATTAGCCTTGTAAGCTTTGTTTCCAAGTGACTTCTATTACACATGTATTGTAGATGATATTTTTACCAGAGAATTCGGAGGTAATATTTAGTAGCCTAACTTCAGTGGGTATTGATATTTTGGATTATAAATTATTTTTTAAAAAACAAATTGTATGTTTCTTTTATGTGATAAACATTTTTAAAATGTCTTTTTCAATAAATTTCAAACAATTAATGTACCATGTTTTTCATGGGCATTAATTCAATCTATTATTACATTAATTACATAGAAAAACCCTTTTTTTATAAACTCTTATATATTTTTATGATCTTGGGAAATCTTGGGAAATTCGTTCACCAAATCTTGGGAAATTTTAAAAATGTGAGTGGCAGCCCTGGACCAAACGTTTCATCTATTTACCAAAAGGCAACGGCTAACAAGCCTTGAAGTAATTTAACAAAGCATATGAATATGAATAGAATAATCATAAAAAGAGACTGATTTAAGGCAATTTGTATAAACTATGAATACATTATTCATTATTGAATTAGGCTAACTAAGCTAAGCTAAGCTGTATGATAACAGTAATTTACGGGGGTTACCATTTACCGGTACTGTTATTAACGTAGTTGAGAGCTGTTGTTAAATTAACGGCAAAGTGTTAATGCCAGTGAATAGTGAATTTCAAGCAATCTACTTTATATTTTCTTTTTAAATTTATTTCGTCACAGTCGATTGTAGTTAATACTAGGTTCCATTTGTAAAGTATGATTAGTATGAAACTGAAATGTCACAAAAATTAATTTTTTGGTAAATTGTATTACTAAGTATTAGTTTTTAGTTGATTTAAATTTAAAACGTACAGATTCCTAAACTAAAAATGATAGTATGATTCATAACTATGATAGAAGAGATTTTCGCAATCACAGCTTATTAAGCTGCTGGTATGCCTATTTCATAAAGTATGGCACCCTATTTTTAGACAATTTTTACCCTCCCCACCCCCCCCCCCCCTATACTATTTTANCCCCCCCCCCCCCGTTACAAATCTTAGACCCACCCTCCCCCTTTTACAAAAATATGTAATTCATACCATCATACCTTTGAAATGACATTTTAAAAATAATTAAAAACTAATTAAAATTTAATCTAAAACCCCACACTTCACAATTACTTTTACACTTTTAAAAGTGACATCTGCTATTACAATACATCCATTCCATCACAACAGAAAGTTCAACATAAGTGTCAAATTCAGATTTTATAATATTAATATGGATGATTATGATAAAAAAATAAAATGTGTAACATCACACAAGATCTTTACCCCATGCCATGTCACAAACTGTCACATTTTCTTAGAACCCCCCTCTGGAGCATGACTTACTTTATATTTATGGATGGCCCTTAACTATTTTTAAAAATTTAATTTTTTGATGATTAAATTTATACATAGTATGTTTTAGATTTTAGGCATGCTATAGAATACCTAAGATGCTCTATTGAGGAATTCAATAGATCTCCTGAATATAACACTTTGCCTGTAACAGAGTGACTGTTTATCATTTTCAGAGGCTGGCCATAAAGTCATAAAGAAACATTCAATACTACACAATATTAATTATTAATACCGGTAGTATTATGATTAATTAAAAATAAACTATAATCCCTTTCTTAAAAGTTTAGGAAATACAAGGATTAAAATCACTGTGTATTTTATGTTTAATTAAATCAGTTTCAGTCAGCAAAAGGAATTTTCAATTTCAAGGATTTCACTCTCACTCTCAGTGTGATTGTGATTATTTTAAATATTCATATTTGAAGATGGAATGTGACATTCTAAAAAAATATAGCATCATTTTTATTTTTGGTAGGTACACTCATGAAATGTATAATATACCATGCATGCCGGAATAAGGATTCCAATATTTAAAATACTTCAGATTAATATTAAGATCTAGCATTGCAATTAATTAAGCTAGGCTTATAGGCCCTTCTATACTTTAAACTCAATGACCTGTTAGCCTTAAGCCTATACTATTATATATTTCTTTTCATGCTACTAAGACTATTAAATAGTTATAAGTGTAAGACATCTAAGTAACTTATTGTTAACATTCACTCTAAATTAGGCTACACCTAAAGAAATGAGACTGAAATACGAGTTCATTTTGAACTACCAAGACCAATTAAAATTTAACCTTCAAATCATTTATTAATATTTAAAAAAATATTTTTGTAATAACAGTATATCTGATTTTTTTTCTTCTCCATAAATTACCCATTGCCTAAGCCAGAGGTACTCAAATATTTTGGCCCGAGGGCCAGGTCTTGTTCTTGGGATAGGCAAGAGGGCCATCTGTATCCACTGCCTAAAATACCATTGCCTACATCTATAGGGCACAATGGGTCAATTATTTCATGTAATTCAAAATATTCTTTTTCAACTTTGTGCAGTTATGCCAAGTGAATAACTGAAAATTAACTTCATTTTGGTCATTCCATCCATCAATGCCTGTGTCGCTACAGCTTTGGCCTGCCTCACTACTTCCTTCCACTCAGATCTAACTAATGCTTTTCTTTTCAATGCTTAGATTCACAGCTGCTGTAGATCTTTTTTCTGCATCATCCATCGATCTAAGCCTAGGTACTTCATTTTAGTTTTGAAATGCAAAAACTGTTTATTTCAATAACTTTACCAAAAGAAAAGAATGATTCTTATTTATTTTTTTTACTTGGTTGCTGAACATTTTCGGGTGATAAATAAAGCTGAAATTTTTTCCTCAGCTTGGTGATTATGAACTCAAAACAACTCACATTGAGCTTTCAGGACAGATGTTTGTCTATAATCACTGATTCTGTTTCAAAAATATTGTCAAGACTTTAACTGTTAGTCTCCTAATAGTTGGATATAGTAGTTGCGCAAATGACTCGCCAAAAAAACCTGCTATGTACTAGACCCAAAACTTCATTTTCATATGTTCTATTCCCCTAGAGATTAGTTGTTTAAAGCTGAAGAGCAGTTTGACTAATTGTGTGAAATTTTAATGTCAGAATTTTTTTATAATTCTTTGAAAGTTTGCTTTATCAGGATTTTCACTAATTGTAAAGAAATTTAGCTGTGTCAGCAGTTTAACTAAATGGAGGGAAAAAAATATATGATGTGTCAGCAGTTTGACTAACTGTGGAAATCTTTGCTGTGTCAGCAGTTTTATTAATGAAGGGAAAAAAAAAGTGGGGGAGGGATTGTCAGCAGCTGCCCAATGGAACGGCAACAAAAATAATTGTTGCTCTTTGTTCTGCACATTTTTTATAATCTACTAGAGAAATGATGTAGTTTTCTGTGCACTTAATGCATCTTGGTCAAGCTTTTCTTTTGTAACATAATTAAGGACTTATTAAAATGTAACCGCTGACTTGATTCCTTATCACTGGCAATTAGTGCAAGTTTTCTCTGAAAGCCCAATGATAAACCTATGAAAGCTCCATGATGACAGACTTTTTCTTATTTTGTAGCCAACTGTGAAGTTTATTAAGATAGCCTGTTATGTCTACCAAAAAAAAAAAAAAAATGCAGCTACCATCTCGTCTATATTTGATTAAAACTCCACAAACTCCCCAGCCTACTTTGACTTCACAGTTTTGAGAATCTTGATCACATTCTCACGAAATTTCCAAAGCAGCTCCAAAATCTTCGTTTGCTTGAGAATCTTACATCATTTGTGCAAAAGCTTATCTCCATGTTTTGCACACGGCTTACTTGAGAAACTTTAAACAGATGATGCTTTAATGATGAGCTGCTTCTTATGAAAGTTATAAGTTTCATGACTTTTGCCATCACTTCAGTAACTTCATCATTCAGTTTTGAACACAGAAATGACTGAATCATCCATTGGTGTGAAATCGGTTTAGATTGAACGTTGAACCCTGTTAAGACAATTGGCAACAAGGCCGAGATCATTTTTACAAGGGAAGGGGTTTGTAATATGGGTTTATTTAATTCATCAAAGACTTAATTTTTTTTTACGCTACCCATGAAAGACGTCAAGTCTCAAAATTATTTTTTTTTTTACAATTTCGTAAGTTGTTAGCGGGCAAGACTTTGAGTACTCCTGTCCTAAGCAGGGATAGAATTACATTTTATCCATTTGCCCTTCCATTCATATTAGAATATTAGCCAATTAAATTAATTTAAAAAATTGATATTAAATTTAGTAATACTACATCTAACACAAGGGTGTTATTTTTCCTTAGTTTAGACATAGTATTACTAAGTATAACATTTGCGTTTATGTTAAAATATGATTATTTTCAATGATTTCATTTATAGAGACTGATTAATGTGAATTGTAAAAAAAAAAAAAAATTGAAATTCATCAGATTTAAAGCAAGCTAACAGAAAAGTCTCACATAATTCATATGTAGAGTCTCAAAGTGACTTGATTTCCAAAATACAATCACCTTTTATTTGTTTAATACTAGATTTAATATTGAGAAACCTCTTCTAGGTAATTTTAGATATTTTAAGAATAATGAGGAGCTTAGCTACTTTAATCCCCTATAAATTAAATTAATTAATCATTTATAAAATTAAAATAAATTGGTTAATAATGTTACAAAAATAAGTTTAAAAATTATGTAAAAAAAAAAAAAGGGAAAAGAGGTTGGGAAACAATTTATATAAATAATGTATAATCATGTAATTGTTTTGTAAACAACCAGATAATTTTTTCCTTAATTTTAAATATTTTAAGAAAAATGAGGAGCTTAGCTAATTTAATCCCCTATAAATTAAATTAATTAATCATTTATAAAATTAAAATAAATTGGTTAAAAATGTTACAAAAATAAGTTTAAAAATTATGTAAAAAAAAAAAAAAGGGAAAAGAGGTTGGGAAACAATTTATATAAATAATGTATAATCATGTAATTGTTTTGTAAACAACCAGATAATTTTTTCCATTACGCACATGTCATACCAATTTAGGATATATGATTGGAACTCTGCCACAGCAGCGATTGTTTATTTTGCCAATAAGAATGTATTAACTGATCATCTCAAATATCAACATTTTTTGAAGTCAAAATATGTTTTTTCTATCAGAGGTCTGAAAAAAAACTGAATTTTATTATTTCTACACTAAAAATTTAGCCATGAAAGGGTTATTTGAAAAACAAATTTTTTAAAAGTTAAATGGACAGATTTCTGTGGCATTTAACAAACTTAAATTGAATTGAGGAATAAAACATTACTTAAATTGAAATTTGAGTAATAATTGATTTTTTTGTTCCAGCATATTTTGGCACCACAGTTGCATTGCTAAAGCCCAACGTACTCTTTGTGGTTGTTGATGATCTTCGTCCCACATTAGGATGCTATGGAGAATCCATATTACATACACCAAATGTAGATAACCTAGCCACTAAATCTGTTTTGTTTGAACAAGCTTATGTGCAGGTGGGTAACAAAAGGATTAGATGGATACGAGTCATGGCCGTTTTACTTGTACTTCAATGTATTCACTGGCATGGCCAGATTTTAACACTAGGGGGAGCCTATGCATAAAAAGACCCACTAACCAAAAACAAATTTGAATAAACTAAATTATGATAAAATGACATGGGAAGCACGTGTGTGTATAGTCAGTAAAAGTACGTTGTTGTATACCACTTGCGTTTCTAGGGGAGCTGGTATGTTTAAAATCTTCTTGAAATATTCCACACATCTCTTTCCTGTGGGAAATTGTTTACCATCATAAGATATTATTTTATAACCTAAACAGATAGCCTGCTTTGAATTGCATAAATATTATTTCAAATTAATCATGAATTTAATCAGTCTTTTTTGTTCTTAAAGCAAGCAATATGTGGACCTAGTCGAGTCTCATTCTTAACAAGTCGACGACCAGACACAACACGTTTGTATGACTTCTATTCCTACTGGCGGGTCCATGCGGGGAACTTCACAACACTACCTCAACATTTTAAAGAAAATGGTTACGTAACACAATCTGTTGGAAAAGTTTTCCATCCTGGTAAATTTGACTGTTTCTAAGTAATTCTTAAGTGTCTTATAAGTGATGTTTCACATTTAACTTGATACCTGGCTATGCGCCAAAGGAAAAAAGCATGCAACATTGTTCCGAGCTTAGGAAGCACTTTTTTCCCACCACTTTAATTTAAGTCTTTAAACTAAGAGTCTGGCCTATAATTGGGATGTTGCAAAAAATGTTTAAATGTTTAGGTTTTTGATAATGGGATAATAGCATAGCCCCAAACTTTGATGTTGCACATCTTTTGTTAAGAATATGTTTTACAAAGATCTTTACACACGTACAGATTTAGCCTCTAACTTCAGTGATGACTCCCCATACAGTTGGACCAACACACCTTATCACCCATCTACTGAAAAATATAAAATGGCCAAGGTCAGATAATTTTATATAAGGGGTGTGTATGTGATTTATTTGTGGACCATGTAAGAAAATTTTGTAATCGGATATTGTATTTGTATTTTGTTCAACAGAGAAGAATTATTCTCTTGTCAAAAGTGCCCAAATGATAAACCTGATTCTCACACTGACCCAGTGGTCTAAAATATGATTTCTTGATTTTGAAATAGTCTTCTTATTTGAAATAATAAAGTGGTAAGCCAACCTGGCATTACTTAAGTGTTTCATGTGGGCTAGATATAAAATAGTTATATTTTTCTTGCTTTATTTTTCAAGATTTTAAAAAAACGCTTTCTGTTAGAAAACAATTGTATTTTCTAGGTATGTCCTAATTCAGATGGCACTCTAGGAATGAACATAGTGTGTCCCGTAGAGGTGGACAAAATGCCAGAGGGTACGCTTCCTGACATTCAAAGTGCAGAGTTTGCCATTGAGTTTTTAAAAAACATGTCGCAGTTAAAGCAGCCATTTTTCTTAGGACTTGGCTTCCAGAAACCTCACATTCCACTGAAATACCCCAGGGAGTTTCTAGGTATTTATTTTAAATTCGCTAAACATTTACGATTGGCCTTGTTACTTTATGCAAACTGGCTCAACATTTACGATTGGCCTTGTTCCTTGATGTCATTTTAGTTTTGTTGGTTCCTTGACAAATTTTAATTAAATAATTAAAAAATGGTTGAAATAATATTTCAAAAGTGAGTGTAATATTATTGTGCATATAGAAACTTCATTATCTGCACTAAAATGTGACTAGTTATATTGAGTCAGTATAATAAAAGCTAAGGATAATCCATGGCATGAACGTTGTGCGGCAAAGCTGGAGCTCTGAGGCACAGCTGGAGGTCTGAGGCACAGCTGGAGCTCTGAGGCACAGCTGGAGCTCTGAGGCACAGCTGGAGCTCTGAGGCACAGCTGGAGCTCTGAGGCACAGCTGGAGCTCTGAGGCACAGCTGGAGCTCTGAGGCACAGCTGGAGGTCTGAGCTCTGGAGCAGAGTGGGAGCTGATAAAAATTCTTACAGTGCACTGGTTGTTTCTGGCACAGCTGATGCAACAGATCTTAGTCATCTCATTCGGCATGGAGAGAGACAACAGAATTGTCAGACTGTCTTACCAACCAGAAACAAACAACCGTGAAACTCCAAGCTAAAAATATTGCACCAGGTCTTTTTAAAAATGGAAGGTGCAGGATTTAGCATTGCAAAAAATGGTGGACCATCTGCAAAATGTATGATCGCTGATGTTTATGTTGATCCATGAGAAGGAATTCTTCCCATTTCCTGTCAATTGAAGGAATTAATTAGAGTTGAACAAGATATGTTTAGGCTGGTCAAGACCAGAAAATTAAGCAGACATTTTGGCTAGATGCCTTCTTCAGCAGACAGTACAATTAAATAAAAAAAGATAAATTTATATAAAAAAATTAAACACACGTTTTTAAAGATCTCCATAATGTCAATTTAGGTCAACGTTCAGAACAGGAAGCGCTCTTTGTAATTGTCAGTTTGAGGAAAGAAGGACTTTTTGATACCGTATTAGAAAGTTACCAAGTTACCATAAGCTAAGAAACTAGCTGAAGATGAAATAGCAGTCAGTTTGGATGATCCATTTTATGATTTGGACATTTCAATATTGAATTCTGCTAATATATTTTAAAATCTTTATAAATATATTCATATTTAATGCAGAGGCAAACTGAACATGAATAAGATTGCCAAATAAAAATACCACATAGACTCATTAGTGCTTTGCACAATTTTTTTTTTTTGATGGCATCCGTCTGTCACAATGTGACGATGGTGTGGGCTTTGGAGGACGAAATCCACAAGGCCTGGGAATATTCTTTTTTTAAGGATTATAAGCTGGTTCTCAACAGCAAATCGCCTCCCTCCACGCCGCTGGATAACCCAAGGGAACATCATTTGGATGATAAAGCTTGGCACCAGTTGCGTCGCAGGAGTTGTCAGAATTTTTCTTTGTACCAATGCACATCGCACATTACTGAAGTGAAAATGTTTTGAAGCAAATTTGAGGCAGGTCGTGTCTATGTTTTTGAAGCAGTTGGGAGTGTTACTGGGATGTCAATGACTGGTGAAGAGTTTCAGCAATCCTGTTGAATAAAAGGAAACATGAACAAATCAAACTTTAATATTCTGATGAGAAGAAAACACTTTTATTTCTTTTATAACTTTATGCCGTGAGCTCATATGGAATAAGGACGAGCAGAAACTTCAAAAAACTAAATCTGTTCCACAACTATATGTTTAGGATTTTTCTATATACAAATCCAATATAAAAAAAAAAGAAAAAAAACCCAAGTTTTGTGTTGGCCTCGGCATCAAATGTTTACATCATGCTTTTTTGTGCTGGCACATCTCTGACCTGACCAGTTGATCAGTCTTCCCTCCCTTGTGGACATGCTTCCCTCCCTTGTGGACATGCTTCCCTCCCTTATGGGCATGCTTCCCTCCCTTGTGGACATGCTTCCCTCCCTTGTGGACATGCTTCCCTCCCTTGTGGAAATGCTTCCCTCCCTTGTGGACATGATTCCCTCCCTTGTGGACATGCTTCCCTCCCTTGTGGACATGCTTCCCTCCCTTGTGCACATGCTTCCCTCCCTTGTGCACATGCTTCCTTCCCCTGGGGACATGCATTGTTCACTGTTGGTCAGAAATTAAGAAGTCAAGAGAGCTCAAAACTGATGTCTGGATCTACAATGCTAGACTGTTCTTAAATCAGCACTTGCACAACAGCTGGCAGAATACCCAAAAAGGGGATAGGTTCAATGAGCAGGCAATCAATTAAGTTCAGCCAATGAATCAATTAACACTTTTGTTATGTTACCGGCCATTGAAGTTATGACACTTGGATGAATAAAACCATATTTATTTTTTCAGACCTTTACCCGATGTCAAAAATCAAATTGGCGAAGTACAACACATACCCACTGCGTTTGCCTCTTGTGGCTTGGAATCCATGGACAGACCTGAGAGAGCGAGATGATGTCCAAAAACTAAATATAAGCTTCCCGTTCGGTCCGGTGCCTGATGATTACCAGGTGGTCATCTAAACTATTATTACTCTTTGTTAATGAAATGTTCATCTTACTGAAAGAATCATTGGCCATTAACCCCACATAAGTTATTACAATCTTGTTAGTATGTTTTTGAATCTTGGTAGTGATAAAGCTATAATATAGAATTTTTAGCACCGAGATGGTTCATTATGCTTTTTTGGTACTTATTTAGTACTTTTTTAGAATCCATAGTTGGCCTGTTTATTTCACCTTTTTAAAATAACATTCTAAAAATTAATACATTGTTAAATGTTTTTTTAAAATGTGTGATCCTTTACAAACTGTTCTCATAAAAATGATATTTTCTTCCTGTTCAGTATAACTTATTTCTAATCCCCCCCTCCCCCCCCCCCACCCACACACACACACCATTTAGCTGCTGATGAGACAGAGTTACTATGCTGCCACTTCTTACATGGACTCCCAACTAGGGAAAGTCCTGTCAGCACTAGAGCAATACGGTCATGCCGACAACACCATCATTTCATTTATCGGTGACCATGGTGAGTCAGCTCATTTTAACAAGTGAGCAAGTCAAAAGACATGATTCTAGCTCTGAATGCTGGGATGCTTTTATTTGGTTGGCAGAACAATTCCATCTAAAAATAATAATTTCAGTAAAATTGATTTTAATCGTTTGATTTTTTAAAATAGTTTGATCATAATATAATCAATTTCAAAAATGCTGTTCCAGTCACTTAGAAATATTGGAATTTTAATTACACCTAACCTTATGTCAAAATGGTATATAAAAGATCACTGACTTACACTCTATGGGATATGGCTTTTATAAACTTAAGATTACTGTTTTTAAATAAGGGGCTGTTTGCAAATAATGGCACGCTCAGCAGGGGAGGGGGGATCGAGAGTTTGTGACACTTTGTGATGGGAGGGGGAAGGGGGGTAAAAATTGACATCACAATTTTTTTTTGTTTTTTTAATTTAAAATTTTCTACACAAAAATTGTTGTAGCCATTTTACATTTGGGGAGGACTTCTTTGTTTCACGTCACAGTTTTCTAATAATACTACATATTAATCCATTGTGGGAAAATGTTAAAAAATAAAATCTTAGTTTAGTTATGAAAATTTTAAGTATGTTTTGAAATTTTTTTTGGTTGTGATGTGACACTAAGGGTGGTGTGGTCTAAAAAATGTCATTTTTTGCGTGACATAATTTGACATAATCTACCATAAATACCAAACAGTTATACACTTCGGAAGAGGGAAAAAAAAAGTGAATTTACTATAAACAGATGTGCTAAAATTATTACACATATAAATAGCTTACTTCAAATTATTAAGTAGCTCACTCCATTCAAATAATTAAATAGCTTTCTTCAAACTATTAATACAGCTTACCTGGTGCTTCAAATTATTAAATAGCTTACCTGGTACTTCAAATGATTAAATAGCTTACTTAAATAAATAAAAAATCTTTCTTCAAATTATTAAATAGCTTACCTGGTACTTCAAATGATTAAATAGCTTACTTCAGATGATTAAATAGTTTACATCAAGTTATTAAATAAATTACTTCAAATATAAATGTGATCAAAAGTCCTCTTTTACGAAAAAATGTCTGGCCATTTGGGAAATATAGTTTGATTTTACTTTAATTATCAAAAGATCAAAGGTCATAGAGGTGGCCAGCCACCCTTGGTCCATGTATGTAAATAAATTTCTTTCTCGGTTGTAGGCTGGGTACTGGGTGATTACGAAGAATGGTCAAAGGTCATAGAGGTGGCCAGCCACCCTCGGTCCATGTATGTAAATAGCTTTCTTTTTCTGTTGTAGGCTGGGCTCTGGGCGAACACCAAGAATGGTCAAAGTACAGCGTGTTCGATGTGGCTGCACGAGTTCCCTTTATTTTATACGTACCAGGCGTAACACACTCTAAAGCAAGTGAGACAGAGAGAATGTTTCCTTTTATCTCTCCACTGAGTGATGACTCGACAATCAACCTGAGGCAGGAACAAAATAGCAATCAATATTTTAAACAAAAAATATTCGACCAGGAAATTTCTTTAAATATTGATGCAGAAGAAAACAGTGTGTTACAGGAAACATCTGAAACTTTTTTTAAAAAGGGTCCATTATTAGACAGAGTTTTTGAGAAATCAGCATCTGAAGTAAGGTTTTCAGTTGACAGTGAGATTAACCCCCTTGGTTACAGAAGTTCTGCCTTAGTTGAACTTGTGGATTTGTTTCCCACTCTGGCTGAACTCGCAGGGCTACCTGTTCTCCCACAGTGTCCAGAGAATCCGTTTGATACCTGGCTGTGCACTGAAGGAACCAGTCTGCTGCCTCTCATTAAGAACATTACAAGGGGAGGCGAGGCCCAAGGAAAGTTTGCTTCCTCTGACGTTATCAAAAACTCAAGCTCTGCTAAAACCATTGACGTGAAGGCAGAAGGTGAACTTCAGTTTCAAACTTCAGTTGCCATGACAACAAGCCATTTAGCACAAAATTGCAATCAAACAGCTGTTCCATTTTATTCTGAATTCCATTGGAAAAAAGCAGTGTTTAGTCAGTATCCCAGGCCGTCTGTTGAACCTAGAGACGACAGCGACAAACCTCACCTGAAGGACATTCGGATCATGGGCTACAGCATGTGGACGCCAGACTTTCATTACACAGAGTGGGTTGGCTTCGACCCGAGTAATTACACCATTCAGTGGCAGGAGTTGTACGGGACCGAGCTGTACCTGAGGTCATTAGATCCATACGAGATAGACAATGTTGCCTTGTATGTTGAATGTGCTGACCTGGTCAAAGGTCTGTCCAAGCAGTTACACAGTGGCTGGAGAGCTGCTCTGCCTTCATAAAGCAAGAATCATGGACAGCTTGACATGTACAAAGGGCAATATGTTGCACACCAAGGAAATGTGGGGAAACATTACATGGATGATGAGACAGTCTGGACAGGTATACACTGTGTCTGGAAAAAAAAAAAGGAAACCTTTTGATACTGATTAGTCAATGGAGAGCGTGTCTTAAAGCCTGTGTTGAAGCTAATGGCGGATGCTTGAACACACAAATTATAGTTAAATAAAATTTGGCATTATGTTAGAATTGAAATGAGCTTTGAAATTTAAAATAATGATAAATATCTACCTTTAGTTTTCATCATGATAAAAAAAGGGGTTCCCTTTTTCACGGACACAGTCTACAATATAAAGAAACAGGAACCTTGACTGGTGTCAAAATATAATGTGTCTACAAACAAAGGGAACCCTTTTTATAATGATGCAAACTTCAGAAAACTCATGGTAAATATCTTCTAGTCACCTTGTTTAAAAAATGTGTCAATTAATTTTTCAATATGGCGTAGTTTTTTTAGGGACCGTTCATTATTTTTGGCCAGCATGTCAGGACTAAAATGAGTTGGATTTTTAAAATTGATATTTGCCAGATTTTTTCATCATTATCAAAAGGAGTTCCCCCCCTCACCCCCCCCCCCCCCCCCCCCCCCTTTTTGGACACAGTGTATTCCAACAGGGATGATGAAGGGCAATTCCCAGATTTGGAGTCACCACTTTTACCTAGAGTACACTCAAATAATTCATATGCAAGTAAATTGATTTAAAGATTTGCACATTTGACTCCTCATAGCATCCACTACATCCAACATTTTATTTAACTACCCTATTATAACAGGTGGTTGCTTTTATGGATAATCCTGACTGGTATGTTCCATATGTTTTATTTATATGTTGGCTCTACTGAAAAAGGCTTTTTCGTTGATCCAAAGTGCTCCGACTCCGATACCTGGTTTTTTGACACACAAAACTTGTGTGTTTAGTTAAATAACACAAGAATTTTTTAGATTATCATTGTTCTTCTGATGCTATTATTTTATTGTAATAGTGGTTTAGAAAACAAATTTTCAACAAAATTTTATTGAAAAACTGTTTTCTTTTAGTTCAATTTAATGAAATGTTATATATTTTATACATTACCAAATGTTACTGTGGCAGCTATTTTCTAAACATTAATATGACCCCCCCTCCCCTTTTCTTTGAGATCAACAAACTTTACATAAGCTTTTCAAAGTTATTTATTTAAATAAATTATTGCACTACTGTGGGATTTGCTTTAAATTAAGCTTTTTAACTTAATTTTCTTTCCTACATCATTTTTATTTCGATTGCTTTGTTATCTGTTGGTCTGGTTCAGATCTCGCAATCAATTTCTTTTTATCCACTTCCACTTCAACCAATTTGATCAATTCTTTCACATGTGGGTTTTTTGTTGACAATATCAATGTTCTAGGGCAGAGCTTATCTTGTGAAATGAAGATTCACAAAAAAGTCTCTATTCGAGTAGTTAGAAAGACATTTGTTTCTTTTACTTCAAGGATGCCAACTTAAACATTTCAATTGAATGATTAAAAAAGTAGCTCTTCTCCACATTCCATAAATTTTAAAATGTCAGCCTAGAGACATAATTTTTGTTCCTTAGTCAGGAAAATAAGGGTTCCTTCAAATTTTATTGCTTATATAATAATATAATGTTCAAATGATACATTTTAATATTAAAAGAGAATTTCAGCTTCCCAGCATACGAGCCCACACAGATATCAAACCTTATGCTAAGTTTAATAAAGTCTTGTAAACCAAGTTTAATAAAGTCTTGTAAACCAAGTTTAATAAAGTCTTGTAAGCCAAGTTTAATAAAGTCTTGTAAGCCAAGTTTAATAAAGTCTTGTAAACCAAGTTTAATAAAGTCTTGTAAGCCAAGTTTAATAAAGTCTTGTAAACCAAGTTTAATAAAGTCTTGTAAGCCAAGTTTAATAAAGTCTTGTAAGACAAGTTTAATAAAGTCTTGTAAACCAAGTTTAATAAAGTCTTGTAAACCAAGTTTAATAAAGTCTTGTAAACCAAGTTTAATAAAGTCTTGTAAACCAAGTTTAATAAAGTCTTGTAAGCCAAGTTTAATAAAGTCTTGTAAGACAAGTTTAATAAAGTCTTGTAAACCAAGTTTAATAAAGTCTTGTAAGACAAGTTTAATAAAGTCTTGTAAGCCAAGTTAAGTAAAGTCTTAAAATACATTTCTTTGGGGTACCAGTTGGTCGATGGGTTGGCAATGCTGTTACTATTATTATTATTGGTGTTTTTATAAAGTGCAGTACCCAGCATAGGGCTGGGCTCACCACGCTGTACATACAATTTAACAAACATAATCATGAACTGAAAAATGAACATCCATTAATTAAATAAAACCAAAATGCATATTCCCTCCACACATTCAAGAACTAGTTACATGTCGAGCCATGGACGGCTACCCAGCGGCATCATTTATTGGTCAGAGGGGGGAATCAGTCAGGACCACACATTCAAGAACTAGTTACATGTCAAGCCATGGACGGCTACCCAGCGGCATCATTTATTGGTCAGATCGGGAATCAGTCAGGACCACACATTCAAGAACTAGTTACATGTCGAGCCATGGACGGCTACCCAGCGGCATCATTTATTGGTCAGATCGGGAATCAGTCAGGATAGCAGAGTTTAAAGAGATGTGTTTTGAGAGCAGTTTTGAAGGCTGTGATGGTTGGTATAATTCGAATATTTAGTGGAAGAGAATTCCATTGTTTGGGGGCACAGAAAAGGAAAGATCATTCACTGTGTGTTTTTGTGCGAGTCTTGGGGACAGAAAGAATACGCACGACTGTGGAGGAGCGAAGCTGTCGAAGGGGTGAATAGACAGAGAGAAGTTCAGTTAGATAGGAAGGGCAGGAATTCGAGAAAAAGTTGTGGCAGAGAGCAGAGAGTTTGTTGTTAATCTGTGCTTGTACAGGGAGCCAATGAAGTGAATGAAGTAGTGGTGTGACGTGATCAAGTTTTTTGCCTTTAGAATTAGCCTAGCAGCTGAGTTTTGAATCTTTTGTAATTTTTCAATGAAGTGTTTTGGTGAACCTTACAGAAGAGAGTTACAATAGTCAAGAGGAGAGAGAACAAGAGCACAGACTAGGGTTTTTGTTGTGCCAACTGTAAGGTAGTGGCGGATGGAGTTGATCTGACAGATAGCGGTGTATGCAGAGCGACAAAGTTTTGAGTGACAAGTATTTCCCCCCCAAAATTTCTTACTCCAATTTTTTAGAACGAAAAATCAACATAGTTGGTGGCTCTCGTTTAGTTTGTCAGAGGAAACACAAGTTGTTAAATATATACACATAAATAATTTAGAAATATGTACACATACATTTTTTTTATCAATATATACTCATTAATAATTTACAAATATATACACATAAATATTTTATAAAATCTTTTCTGTAATAATAATCCTTCAACATCTTCACTGTCTTGTGATGTCCCAAGGAGTATCAAAGCCGATGTCATGAATGAATCGATGCACCATCTCCAGGGTCCATGCTGGCTGGTCAATGGCTGTCCTGTGTCCAGCTTGTCTCATTACAATCTGAGGTATGCAGTGGGCAAACAGTTTTAAGGGTACCAAGACAAGCACACACAGGGGAATAAATGAAAATGTAAATGTAATCATAGAGGTTATTTCCCCCTCAAGTAATTTTAAAATAAAGATTTAGAGATGGGGATGGGTGGGGGGCGGATAAGTTCATTGAGACTAACATTTTTGTTTTGTTTCGTGGATCACATCCATATGTAAAAAGCCAAGGAACTACTCGTATGACACATGGCAAAAAAAAAAAATATATATTTTGCATCATTAGTCCCAGTGCAGATTTATGTAAAGATAACTATGTGCAATCGGAGTCAGTTACTAATAGTACTAATAGCATATTGACAAAAAATTTCCCCAAGGATACATGTCTCATTCAACTGATATTACCGTACCTCAGTTACTTGTGTCATTTGGTTTGTTATGACATGGACATTGGCTTGACGTTACCTAAGACACTAAAGTAATATCGATTAGGAATTATTTACCCTTGTGAAGTTCTTGACCTTGGTTACATAACCTGCCACCTCTCCCTGCGCATCTCTCCAGGTCACTTTCTCAGTTTTTAAGTAATCATCCTTGCCCGACCATTGGAGGTTTGCCAACAGACGTTCAATCATGGGTGGGCTGACTATCATATCCATCTGTCCTCCAAATAGCAGCACCTGTAAGTATGAGGGATCGATAGATCACTAAAATCAAATTATGCTATCTTCATCCAAATTCTGTTGACACTTCAACAATTAATATTGCAGATCTTTTTACTTTATGCTTTTTAATAGAGTTTCCAGGTTTTTCATTACAGCACACTTCCATGGGCCCACGTTCTGGAACCAGCTCCCCTTCCATATCCGTCATTGTGAAACCTCGTCCACTTTTAAAAAGTCCCTTAAAACCCATCTGTTTAGGTCCGCCTATGACCTGTGATGCACCCTCCTTGCCCTGCCTCATTTTCTGTCTCGGGTTAATCCTTTAGTATAGGCCAAAACGTGCCAAAGTGTCCTCGTTTTATAGCCATTTTAATTGTTTCTATAGTATAGTAGTTACTATCCTAATGTCTCATTTTTATTGTAGTTAGTTTACATGTTTTTAATAATTGTAAAGCGCTTAGAGCTTTAAGGTAAGCGCTATATAAAAATGCCTAAATAAATAAATAAATAAAAGATACCTTTAAATTTTGTTTTCTATATTTATGTTGTTACAACCATTACAATACATCTATATCTAGTATTATTTTCATAAACTAAAACTTTAAAACAATTCATATGTTCATAGTTTTGATTGATTATACCTTAAACAATTCTATTACTTTTAATTCTCGAACTTCCGTAATGAAAAGTATAATTTCACGAGATTCTAATTTGTCCCCTGTAGTAATGGCGTAAAAAATAATATTTAAAAAAAATAACTCACCTGACGAGCAGTATTATTCTGTGTGGTTAATGATATGCAGGCTTTTATTTTTACTCCCCTGAAGAGCAGCTCTAACCTGTGTGGTTATCAATGCATTCATAGCACGCATCATTAAAATGATAAACCCTGTCGAGACACGTTGGTGAGCACTCAGCACTGCATTTTGAATCGTAGTGTGGCGGCGGGCAATCTGTTGTGTAGATCATAATATTATGTAATCATAGTTACAGAAATGTTTTGGTATTTTTTTGTATTTAAAGAACAAATATTATTTTGAAGTTGGGCAATGCAGTAATTTTTGTTTTGTTATTAAATTATAAGTGAAATAAATTTTAACATTTAAATGATGTCTCTATTTAATTTATCATTTATATTTTAAAGTAAATTTTTGTCATATGTATTTTTCCTATATATTAATTTTCACAGATATATTTTTTTCCAAAAAGTTTACGAAAATCCATTTCCCTCCTTATCCATGTTGTAATCCAAAATTGTATCGAAGGATTCCGGTGTTTAGACAATGAGTAGCTAAATTTAGGACTCTCTAATTTTACTTGAACCCACGTAAATAAGGACTGTGCTCAGGCCTTATGGAGATGGCAGCATGC